TGGAACAAGCTTGGCAAAGCACAGGGACCACGGTTCGATCCCCCAGCACCACATGCCAGCCAGCCTCGCCTCCTGGTGGGCTGAACTGGCCACACACACACACACACACACACACACAATAAATAAATAAATAAATAAATAAATAAATAAATGTTTATAATAACATGCAAATTGCTAACTTTCCTAGATATGAACAGACCTCATACTTGGGTTTTTATGCTTTAAATTGTGTATTTGTGTCAAAGATGTGTAAAACTCACTTTGTCAGATTTACAAATGAATCCAACTTATGAACACTGTCCCAGAACAGAATTCTTTAATAAGTTGGGGGCTGTATACAGAAGGAAAGGCAGCCCAATATCACACTTAGCGTGAAGACTAAATGTACCTATTTTGAACACTCTTACATCCTAAAGCTGCTCATACTGACCATTTTCTAGTGACCCTTCTCTGAGATAAGAGCACTCTATTTCTAGGGGTGGTTACAGGCACTTAGGAGACCTTTCTAGGCCCGCATCCCTCTCACTGTAAAGATCCCTACCACCCAGTAGTGAGCAGATGGAGTTAAAAGCAACCAAAAGCGTTCTTTGGAAATAACCTTACAGGCATTCCTTTTCCCAGTACAGAGCGTAAGGAATCGTCCTGCTTGGCAGCAGCATGACTGTTCTCTAGTAAACAAAACATGACTCTGCCATCACTGTGTTGTTAGAAAAACTGGAAGCTGTTCACCTGAGCCAACTGCATCTGAGTTCCTTCCTACAGAGCCCGTGGACCTGGCTCTCAAAGATGTCCTGGCAGTCCCCATGTCATTCCTGAACTAGCAACTAACCTCATCTTTAACAAGCAGAGTGCAGATGTCAAGTGTAAGGGGCTGTGCCTGTCAGGAAGGAGAAGGCATTCAATTACCCAGGAGCATTGCCAGATCACCTCAGAGGTGCTGAGAGCCACGAAATTAAAAATACACACAATCGTTTCTGGAGCCAGGAATTACATAAGGCACGGGACCCTAGAGAGGAAGGGAAGCAATGGCTATCTTCTACAAAAATTAAAAACCAGGGGTCCAGAACATTCTAGTACTATCTTAGCCCATTATGCCACAGGCTCTAAGATCTTACCCTTGGAGTAAGTGAATCAAAGCCAGAATGAACCTCCAGCCAGAAAAGGCCATTTCTAAGCAGAATAAAGGAAATTCTTAAAATACCAGCCACATCTATTATAATTACCCCCATCTTAAATACTGCAAAACATAATCGCATATGCCATAGTTAGCTCCAATTAGTTTCTGTCTAAAAATAAAAAACTGTGTTGTAACAGTAAATAATCATTACAAATTCTCAAATTTTTATCCCACATTTGTCATTAGTTGGGTTTTTTAAATAGAATCCATAACTCCCTGGGAGTTGCTAGTGAAAATTGTCTTTTTACAAAATAAGCTATTTTTCAAGACACCTAAGTGAATATGTACCTTCACAGACAAAATGAACAAATAAGATAGCTCAACAAATAGGTGGTGTTAAGAGTTTCTATTATAAATTATAGATCCATTTTTGTGAGGGTTCTTCAAGCAAAACCAAAACCCTTCTATTGATCTCAGTCAGTTCACTTGTACCATAACCAGCCACCCAAGAAACATAACCTTTCCATGAAGAGTCCAAAAGAAGCCAAACCTGGGAGTCTGAGGACCCCCAGTTCACTCACTTGTCTTCTGTAAAACTTTTTCCAGTAATAATATCCTTCCCTTGAGGTACATAGTTCCAGTACTCTTCCACAATCCCAATGTAGTACGTTCTGGTAACTGCACCAACCAGCCCAGGCAGACTGAGGAATGTGAGGAGAAGGATGCAGCCAGTCGGCTGCTTCCGAGGCATTTGTGGATGTAACTCAGGCAGGTAGCCTGCGCGAGACACAACCTTGTTGGTTCCTCCCCCTCACATAAGGGATGGACAAGGCTTAGCTCCACCTCCTTAAGTGGCTGGGCTTGGGACAAAGGCTGACAACTTGTGTAAGCAGAACAAGCTCGATGGGAGAGTTGCTATGATAAAATGTTTGCCAGCAAATGTGTAAGGCTTATTCATTTACTGCCTGAGCTAAACAGGCCTGTTTCTGTAAGTTCTAGTACCCTGATGTGAATCATTCATCCTTCTCAAGAATGGCAACATAACAAGTTGAACTGTTGGGTCTCCTCCCAACCCTCCCCCTTGTTTTCTCCAATCTTATTTCAGAACCATATTACAATCAGAAAAGTAAACTGGCTTGAGTGAACATCAGGAAATATCCTAAGAACTAAAGAAAGTCTCTCATGTCTTTCAGGAAGGCAGAGGAAGTGATGTAGTCACCCTCTAGTTTGTTTTATGAGGCTACATGAAACAATCAAACCACATCATAAAGTTCATGGCGATACTGTAAAACCTCACTATTACTACATTAGCTCACACACCATCTCCCCTAAGTCCTGTCAAACACCACCAGCATTACTGAGGAGCTTGACTGTCCAGACCAGCCTAATGCCGGATCAGTGAGCTGGATGAGTGACACTGACAAAGGAGAAGAGGACCCTCAGGCACACGGAGACAAAGCAGCAAGCTACCTCAGGGTAAAAAGGTGAAAGGTGTGCCATTCTTTTCAGTGTTTAGGTCTGTGACCTAGAATCTCCCTGGTGAAAGAAATCATGTTCGACCTTGGAAGAAGGCCAGTCTGATCCTTTTGCAGAGCTGCTTCTTAGAAAGCAAACAGAGAGTGACAGAAACAGCCTACTGGGCTTTGAAGCTGGACAGACTTTGGTTTAAATCTAAGCTCTACCACTAACCAACTTCACCACATGGAGGAATTTTTTTTTTTTTTTTTTTCAGAACCAGGGATTGAACTCAGGCCCTTGAGCTTGCTAGGGAAGCGCTTATTCCACTGAGCCATCTCCCCCATTTAATCTCTTGAGCCTCAGTCTATAAGACAGATTGAAGGGGCCTGCCCATTCGCTCAGTTGTTTAAGTGCCTGCTGAAACAAAGCAGTGAGGCTCAGGATGCTGTGATTCAATACCCAGATCCTCAAGCCAAACCAAACTGCCCTGAGGCAACAAAAAAAAAAGACGGATTGAGGGATTGTTTAAAATTTTTATTTATTTTATTTTATTTTATTTTTGAATTTGGAAAGCCATTTATTATTGAGCTCAAGGCCCCCAATCAGCTCTCATGCAGGAGAGGACCGAAAGGCAGCTAGCCCAGGAAGCAGGAGGGCTTTTTAAACATGAAACCACATTCTGTTTGGTAAACAAATTCATTGTCTGACACAAAACAATGCTTTCAGGATCATTGTGACCACTACCCAAACTAAATTTCCTGGGGCCTTGTTTTAGTTTCTGGTTATCTTGCACCTGAGTACCTCCAGGCAACCTTGCATAGCCTGAGGTTACAAGAAGTTAAATCCCATTTAGTTTCTTTTTGAAATCATCTCTGTAATCTCATTTTGTTTATAGGGATTGGTTAGGTAGTAATTTTATCTAGCAAACAGCAAGTAACAGCCACTATTTACTAAACAACTTAGAACAGTGGTGAGTACACATTTTTACACAACAGAAAACACAAGATTTACATTTACAGTCTAAAATGTGAGTTGACCCATTACATTCCCCACTGGTTTTATCTGCGAATTAAATCATTGATTTAGCTAAAACTCCTGAGTTGGGGGCCTGCCCCATAGCTCAGTTCTTTAAGTGGCTGCTTCAACAAAGTAGTCAGGCTCAGGTTGCTGTGGTTCAATCCCCACAAAAACCAGCCAAACCTGCCCTGAAGGCATTCAGAGCAGAAAAAAAAAATCCTCAGGGGCCAGGGAGATGGCTCAGTGGAATAAGTGCTTCCCTGGCAAGTGCAAGGGCCTGAGTTCAATCCCCGGTTCTGGAAAAAAAAAAATAAAAAATAAAAGACTTATGTGAAACTCCCGAGTTCTTATAATTGTCCCAGGAGCATGAGGGGTTTGTAATTAGATCTCACCACCATTAACTTGATAGTCTGGATCATTTGAACATACTTAAACAGTTTATAAAACAGGGCCCAACAGAACCAAGAGAAACAAAACAGGTCCAATAGAGGCAGGTACAAGGAGGCATCGAGAACAATCTCCAATTTTTCCTTCTGACAAATCTCTAGAGCCAATTTTTTTCCCTTAGTCTACAATACACCCCCAATTGTTTTACATGTTGTTCTGCTATTTCACCAAAAAAGAGGTTTCTAACAACACTAAATATAGCATATGTTTAAATATCTCAAGTCTTACGCACCCATGACCCTTTGTGGTGATGTTGTGTCAAATTATTTTGACATGGTGTCACCACTGCTAATCTACTCAAACAACAAGGAACATTAGTTAACAACAGAGTCTGATAGGGGGGCTTTTCTAGAACTCTAGAACAGGCAATATCTCCCATGTCCACACTGGTTTTTGTGCCACCTCTTAAGCTGTAATATCAGTCAGGTAGTTTCCTCTTTTGTCTTGAGGTCTGGCCCATAGTGGGCAGCATCTGTCTCTCTCAAGCTATAAAATCACCTTGTCTTTAATTTTATCTCCTTGAGGGCCTAGCCCTGTCTGACTGCCTACAATATCTTTAAATTAACTCAGCTGCCTACAACAGTTTCCCTCTGAAGAAGTAACACAGACTGTTGTGAGGGTGTATGGGCGATGACCGCTCTGGCTTCTTCAGGCTGAAAGGGGTCACAATTGTTGACCAGCAGTCAGAGATACCTCCAGAGGTTTTATCTAAAGGCCCACAATAGACACCAAGCATTTTTATCTTGGGTAGGAGGAACAGCTTTAAATCTGGAGGAGGCAAAGCCAAAGAAACAATTAAACATGCATAACACTAGTCAGAACATTTTGTAAGTTCATTAGCAGGTATCTCTTTAATGTGGGGTTTAATCCCTTAATCTTCTATGGCCACTGGGTACTGGGGCACATGAATTGCTGGACCTATGGAAAATACTGAGTACTTTCTGGTTGGCAAGTGGGACCACTGGCTGGGTAACTGAAAAAATCTGCATGAGCATCTATTAAAAGTTTAACAGGCTTTCTCCTTATATTGGCTGTTAACATGGGTTTCCTCAGGCTGAGAGGGGAAGATCCATGACCACTTCAATCTGAAACTTCCTCTGACTCCATCATGAACACTTTCTTTTTCCTTCTGTAGCAGCTTTAGACATTTTTTGCTTGAAATGTCCCTTTTCTCTGTCTGGGTCCAAGGAAGCGTAACTTTTTTTCCTTTTTCCTGACTGGCCTTTTTTTTCTGTAGGCTGCTAGTATCAACACTCTCATTTTCCATCTATAATTCCATTCTGTATCCTTTCTATTATGAAACACTTCAACTCAGACAAATTCATTCCTGCAAACCCTTCTAACTTCTGCAGCTTGTGTCAGATATCTGGGGTCCACTGAGTAAGGTACAAGTTCTTGGTTTTAAGGCAACCTGTAGGTAACCCTGCCCAAGGAATACAAATATAGCTTTCCTCGTAATGAGGCAGGAAACCCAGAGAAGGCTCAGATCACTTGGGCTCTATCAGGTGGACAGTTAGTTTAGGCTTTAATATGTGTTTCTATAGACAAAATCTGGTGAATCCCAGTAAAAGGAATCTTAATCTAGCATATTTGTTAACAGATTTTACCTGCATGATTACCTGGGTTTTGGTATCTTCTAGGACAGAACAGATTTTCTGAGAGATTAGAACATATATAATCAAAGCATGAACATTCAATTTAACAGGTACATTTGTAAACCTTTTTGAGACCTAGCAGTCATAACTCACTAGCTCTTAGACCCCTTTATTCATGGAGTCTGACAGTTTGCTGTAAGTCCCTCTAGCTTTAGTTAAGAGAGGTCACACATGTATTAACTATCAGCACGAAATGCGGAGTTATATTAAAAATCAACCATGCTTACATACTCATCATGAAATACAAAGCATTTAGTCATATTAAACTAATGTCCCATTCAGTGTTTTGGATATGGCTCCCACAGTAAGCAAGGGGCACTGCCAAGGGATTTTTCCTTTTAACGCTATGGCTCTGAGTTTTACATCACAAATACAACACCTGGCTCTATAGGCCCAAAGCTATTGGACACTGCATAGCCAGTGTCTTTAGAACATTTTTAGATTGACAGGATTTTATCTGTACATGAACAATATATCTCAATTACAACTAAAACAAGATGATGATGACTGGAAGGTCAGGGTTGGAGAAAGACAAAAAGACCTGTGCCAATATCCAGCAACAGGCTGGGCTTTTTCCTTTAGTCATGATTACTCAGGGCTCCTCCATGGAGATGACAGGTAGAGATAACAGTCTGGCCAGAGGGAGGAGGCAGGCCCAGCGCCCTTCAGTCCTACTGGACCATCTGGAAAGCTGAGTCTGAGTTCTGGGGCCTCCACCTCAGAATGCAGTCTCACTTCTAGTGGCTGCCTTAGCAGTCAGGGCATGGCTTGTGGGCCTCTTAAAGCAGTCCCTCTTATAGTGGCCTGGCTTCTGACAGCAGTAGCAGATGAACTTCATCAACAGATGAACCTCATTGTTGTTGAGCTCTTCTTGGAGCCCAGAGTATCAGACTTAGGGTCTGTTTTGAGGCCACAACAAAGGCAGCCGTTTTGATCTCTTTGTTTTTTCTCCCTGGTTTTCTCCCAGTTCTGCTTATAGGACGTTGTTTCCTTAGTGCCCTATAAAGTATCAAGTGAATTGTCTGGAGAAAAAGCTATCTTTTATAGCTCTATTCTAATATCTGGAGCTGACTAAGTAATGAATTTATCTGTAAGAGCAATCTGTCCCTCTACTGAATTAGCATCTCAAGAAGTATGCTTTACCAGTTTCTTATTAAACATTTGAAGAAATCAG